ATATTATTTATATTATTTATATTTATATAATATATTATAATATAATAATATAATATTTAAAATATTAATATTTATAAATATTACAACAGATTTGTTTAAATATGTGTACAAAAAGGTAGAGAGAGAACATCCGCTGTCAATTTATATTATATATATATATATGTGTGTGTGTGTCAGTGTAGTAAAAATATTTTAATTTTTTGCGTGTCTTAAAATTTTATCTCGGGAACACGGCAGTGGCTAATTTGGTTAGGAGGGGTGACGTGGTGATTACCCCTCCTTAGGACTTTTTTTGTTGCTTTAATTATAGCGCCGTATGATAAAATGAATATGAAATTCATAAGTCATAACTATAACTTAAAACTTATAAATAAATGATAAAGAAAAAGGTATTTTTTTTAAATATGAAAATCGGTAATGTGTATTCAGTTACGTCTTTGTAAGTATATCAATCTATGATACCAATTCGCCTCCTCTTCAAATGATCTTCAGATCCGCTACTGGAACACGGGCCATGGATTTACTATCCCTGGCGTAGAATATTAAAACTATTGCTCGACTTAGAACACGATGGGTTTCATTTTTTTCGTTGACAATTAATAATATAAAATATATTATTGTTTAGAATAGCCTTGTACCTACCTAAGTTTTTCAAAGTTATTATTTATCATTATCAAGAAAATACAAAGTAAAAGTATTGGAAAAATAATTAATACTTCAACTAGTTCAACTTACTATAATTACACTTGTTGACTTACAGTCATGGTACTTACAGTGCATAACATGTACTTAACATATAGGTAAGTCTGCATATATATTTGTGCTGTATACATCGACGATATTTGCTTTTTCATTTGACAAATTAGCAAGATTGTGTAATAAAATTAATAATAGTTAGTGTTTATTCAACAGCTATATTTTCATAAAGTGTATACTTTAACCAATTTAAATAATCGAATCTCATAGTGTATAAGCTGTGTGAAAAATGTCACGGTCACACAAATTCGTATTCCTTAAGCCCGACGTTATATAAATATTTAGTATTATTATTATTTTATTGTTGTATATAATTAGTACATTATACATAATTAAAGATGTTGTTTCGTAATATTTATGTTTACATTAAATAATATTATAT